CAAGGAATCCTTTCCAATTCTCTACATAAGCCACCCCAACCCTAGCAACATCATTTTAAAAACATCTTTGGATCTCAACCTCCTACTCTTCAGGATCTAATATGATATAATACGGTTTGGGTCTGATATATGTTAATGCTCTGATTTGGGGGCTAATTTAAATGTCAAGAGCACAGGCTCTGAAGTAAAATTCACCAGTGTTCAAATCTGGGCTCTGCCACTTACTAGCTGTGTGACTTCGGGTAAGTTTATTAGCCTTTCTGGGTTTCAGTTTCCCTATCTGTAAATTGGGGATGGGGGTATTCACAACCGGGCATTGTATCAGATGAGATAAGGCAAGTGAAACACTTAGGACAGCTGCTGGCAGCATCATTCAGCTCCTAAGTGACCATTATAAGCACATTCTTCTGGGTTTCAGGCAAGAGGGGGTGCTTTGAGGAAGAGAGAAGAGAAAAGAAGACCTTCTGGAGTTAACTGGCCTTTCCCAAGCAGTGTGAATGCCAGGTGAAATCCAACAAAAGGGTAGCTAGCTCTGGTCTCATTTCCAGTGGTGTCTCGGTACAGCCAGGCCACCCTCCCCACCCCCACCCCCACCCCCACCACTGTAATGGGGCAGGTCTTGACAGCTCTTTGAAACTCAGAGGGTTTAAAATTTAAATGTCTTTGAGGGTAAGAAAAACACACCAAAATAAACATACCTCCTGCTGCACGGAGAAAGGGAAACTTGGCAGGCACCCCAGAACTTTCCCCACCCCCAGCCCTCCCTAAACTTCCTCTTGTGGTTTCTCAAGAGCACAACCTGTTCTCCCCAGCCAAGAAAACGCCTGGGGCAGGGGGCTGGGGCAAGCCAAGGGTTCCACCCCACCCCACCCTATGACAAGGGAGGAAAGTATGCGTGGCAGAAAGGTGGCCTGGAGGTCTATTTAGTTCAGAATTTCACAACCGGCTTACCTGTTATCTTGGTGTGGCCACCCTCTAAACCCTCAACTGCCAGCATCAACACCCATCCCTCCCCCAACCTATGCCTCTCTCTCAAAGACAGATGCATGGAGGTGATTTGACCGCAGGCAGAGGGGGACCGCTTCAGGCCTCCCCAGATCTGTGCAGAGGACTCCTGTGAAAAAACCTAGAATTTCAGAAAGGTAATGGAAAAGTGGCTGGAATCCCGGGAACCTCTGCCCTGTGGCTTGGCTCACATCAGGGGCAAGGGCCCAGCCTGCCTGGAGGGATGGAGTCAGAGACACACATGCAGCTTTGGGATGCAGCAGCTGTGGGCAAGAGAGGTGAACATCTTAAGATGGTTTCCACTACTGGACCATCTTCCTTACTCAGCTACCAGGTTGGACTGTTCCTCTTGGAATCTAAAATATGAAAGTCTCTGCTATTCCTAAAGATTCCCACCAAATGAGGTGTCTTAGTCTCGCACATTCCCAGATTCTGGCACATTACAACCATGTTGCCTTCTTTCTTGCATCGAACCTTAGTGTGTTCCTCTTGATGAGTCAGGCTTATTCAAGAAAACACACTAATACACACACAGCCTGAAGGGAAGGATATAACTCAGTGCAGTCCCTACAAGCTTACTCAAGACCTGTTGAGGCTCCATGTAAACCGTTACCAGCACCCACACCCAGCTAAAAGGTTTCTCTCCTCTCTACTACCCAAGATACAAGACCTTTTGGAAACTCCTAAGTCCCTAGCTCAAGTGGACATTCTACATGGTCAATCAGGGAAGCAGGGTAGTCTAGTGATCAAGAACAGGGCCTCCCAGGTCAAGTGCCCTGGGTTTCAATCTCAGCTCTGCCATTTATTTCTGGTGTACTCTTTAGAAAAATAACTTAACGCCTCTGTGCCTAGGTTTTCCCGTCTATACAATGGAGTACAATGGAGATGATCCTAGTGCTGACCTCATAGGACTTAGGGAAGGTTTTTTTTAGATTTTATTTATTTATTTAAGATATTATTTATTTATTTATTTGACAGGGAGAGAGCACAAGCAGAGGGAGCAGCAGGCAGAGGGAGAGGGAGAAATAGGTTCCGCATAGAGCAGGGAACCAGATGTGGGGTTCAATCCTAGGACTCTGGGATCATGACCTGAGCCAAAGGCAGAAGCTTAACTGACTGAGCTACTCAGGTGCCCCACTTAGGGAGGTTAAATGAGACACTATACCCCAAACATTTAGAACAGTGCCTGACAGTACTATATAAGCATTAGCTGGTATTCTGAACCCTTGAGGGAAGGAAGGAAAAAAGAGGAAGCACTAAAGACCAAGGTAGTCATGGCCTCAAGGACTAGGATCTTGCTGGAATTCTCAGAGATACCTTTGATTGGAAATTCCAGGCAGAGTAGAAGCTCTGACTTGTTTATGTCCCCAGCATCTAGCCTGTGCAGGAGATATAGCCATAGCTAAGGGATGGTGAATAAATTCATCTAATGTTGTATCAGTCATCTCTCCAAGGAGCCGAGGAATTGAAAAAGCAGAAGAATCTGCAGGAACACAATGAGAGATCTAGTTGTCTTCACCTATGTCTGGTCCCCAAGAGAACCGAGGAGGGTGGCATTGAGAAAACAGTGGAAACAGTCCTAAGGCCCAAGGATGAGGAATGGGTACCCCAACATTGTGTGGATGGTCACATAACCCTCAAGTGGACTCCCAGCTGCATGCAGCTGTGAATTTTTGGATTCTTAGGGACCAGCCCAGAAACTTGCCTTTCCCTGAATTTATCCTGCTCATCATTCCCCCCTCTTCTTCATGCCTAGATAGTAGGTTAAAGAGAGCAGGAACGCTTTCTGGGTCCTCAATGTATTCCAATGCCAACCCCACAGTCAGGGTTCAGGACAGCTCTGCAGAATGAACAAGTGGCCCCCAAAGACTTCCTACCACTTCTCTGCCTGGTGACTATCCATCACCTAGAATCCAACTCCAAAGTCCTCTTCTCTCCTGAGTCTTCCTCGCCAGCCCAACTTGGTGCTTTATGTCTGTTGTTTTTCTGTGACCCACACCAATGGTAGTTGAATAACATCATCGTACCCTCAGCATCCCATAAATCCCAGACACATAGTAGGTGCTCAGTGTTTGCAGATGAAATCATTATGCTCCCTTAGTAACAACAACCAATTTCTTCAGTTACTCTTCTTGGCAGTACATTAAAAGATGCAGAAGAGGCTTGTGTGCACATCAGACACCACAGGGACACCGAGGCGTCCCTTCTTCCAGTCGGTTCCTCTGACCTAATCCTTCTGCCCACCTCGGTTCTGCCTTCCTACTCACCTCCCATTGCTATCTCTGAGGTATGAAGAGCGACGACAACCCAGTGAGGCCACTGGGCTTCTGGGTCAGCTGGCAGAGGGGCTGTGGGGACAGGGCTCAGGGCTTTGGGGGCGTCTCTGCTCTTCACCTACGTGCAAAGGTGAGCCAAGCTTTAGGGGACAATGGGGAGGTGATGAGGACGCAGTGACCCCCTTAACCGACCCTCTTCCGACCCTACCCCGGGCGTCCAGCCTGAGCTTGGAGGCCCCGCAGCGAAGGGTGGAGAGGCTGACACCCCATCTATCTAGGCTTCTCCAGCCATCAAGCCTACCTCCATAGCAGGTGAGCCCTCCGGAGCACCGACTGTGGCCTCATTGTCCCGCCGCCTCGGACTGGTCTCTGGGGCGGGGGGCGTCGCCACCGCCTCGAGCCGCGCGGAGGGGCGTGCGCTCCTCCTCCGGGCGCCCCAACAGAAACAGTCTCCACCCCCGCAGGCGCCGCGTGTTTACAAAGTCCGCGCCGCGCCGCGGATCCCGAGTTTAAAGCTGGGCAGGAAGTGGGGAGGAGGGGGCGGGGGAGACAAAGGCGCTGGGTGCTCGGCGCCGCTACGGTGAGGGCTCCGACTCCTCCCCCGGCCGCCCGCGGTCGGCCCCGCAGACCCCGACCCACGTGCCGGGTGAGGGGCGGGGCACGCCCCGGCTCAGGTGCGCCTGCAGGGCCCGGGCCGCGCGGGTTCCCGGAGTTTTGCCCTCAGGGCGCTCGCCAGGCGTTCACGCGTCGCGCAGGAAATAAACAGCTTTAGGTGCAGAGTCTTGACCTCCGGCTACGCTTCTGGCACGTGCCGGAGAGCCTTTGCGGGTTTGGGCTTATTTCTTCTCTAGCAATCCCACCCCAGCCTCACACACACACAAAGGAAACTGAGGCACAGTGCGGTTGGGTAATGGGCCCGAAGCCTCACAGCCTGCGATGTTAGGATTCAGCCCCGGCGTGTGCGCCCTCCCAGGCACCCGCAAACGGAACTGAATGAGGGGCAGTGGGGGTCCCCGGCCCCGGCAAGGAGAACCCCCTTCCAGGGTGGCTGAAGAGCGAGTGAGACGCAGAAAACCACAAGCACCGCGTGGTCGCCACGCCTCGGGACTGAGGCGGGCCCCGGACAGCTTCTTGCCGCCCGCGCCTCCCGACTCGCCGCGCAAATAGCTGCGGATCGAGGGCGAGAAGGCAGCCGGGCTAGCGGGTCTAGGCTCTAGGTGCAGGTGGACGTTGGCGGGCGTTGGCGGGCTGCGGGGCCGGTCCGCGCAGAGTAAGGGTTCCCAAAATTACTCGCTCAGGATAATCACCTGCAGAGCTTCACAACAGAGAGTCCCAGGCCCCTTCCCCAGAGGGGGAGTCCCTGGGACCGAGCGGGACGCAGCCAAAGGTGTTGCTAACAGCAGGCAAGTTTGGAGCGCCCCAGGGATGTGCTCTGCAGGAGAAACGATCTCCTCTAGAAACAGGTGCGAAACCCGAGGGCGCATCTTCCTAGCCGATTCCGAGGCACACCGGGGCCCCAAGAACCTACCACTCACTGCAGGTCACGTGAGCCGGGATCCTCAAACACCGCCGCCCCCACCCCGCCCCCCGCAACCCGCCTAGGCTTAGGAGAGCTCCGAGCGGTGCGCGCCGCCCCGCCCCCTCCCCGCCTCTCCCCGCCCCTCCCCGCTCGGCGACTACAAGTCCCATCCTGCCCTGCGCTCGCGCACAGTACGCCAGAGCAAGATGGCCGACACGGCGGCCACTGCCGGGGCCGGTGGCTCCGGAACGGTAAGGGCGGGAGGCGCGGGGCGGAAGCCGAGAGAGTCTGGGCATTCTGTAACTTCCCACTGGTGTGGGCAACAGGCTCGCAGCCAGAAATCCAGCCCCACCATGAGCTCCGGGTGGAGGAGCGTCTTTCAGGCCGTAAATGCCCCCCTCCTCGGGACTTGGCTGAGGCCTCCTGAGTTGGCGGACCCGTGTACTGATTGGCTCCTCCGCTGTTGGGGGTTGGGAACCCGGAACACCTCCTGATTGGCTCGGGGAGACCGGCTTCGCCTTCTTATTGGCCAGCCTGAGTTAGGAGGGATTCCCGTTTCAGAATAATTTAGCTTTCCAATACTTTTCTGAGCGGTTGCCCTTTGCCTTCCTATGCCCAGCATCGTGTGGTGCTGTTTTAATTTTTCTTTGTAGTGACAGAGTGTGGAGATGCGAGGAACAAGAGAAAGGCCTTTTTTTTTTTTCTGGGAAATGGATGTGAATTCAATCCCATCATGCATGTTTTTTCAGCTATATATTTTGATAATCTGCTAAAAAAGTAAGAAAACATTATTAGAATCTTAAGTTTTAGGTAGCTCCTTAGTATTTAGAACCCCTTGGGTACTCGATGATTACTCAGTTGGCCAGGATTTATAAATCTTAACACCAGGGGCTACCATATTTTATTAAGCACTGATAAATACATATTTAGCGAAAGAACTTTTGCTTGCCATTGACGATATGTCAACTGTTGGATTGCATTCTTATCCTGTGGGCGAATTAATTTTTTTTAATGGGGTGCTGATTCGCAGAGATCAGGAAGTAAACAATCCACTAACCCTGCTGATAACTACCATCTGGCCCGGAGGCGAACCCTTCAAGTGGTCGTGAGCTCCTTGTTGACAGAGGCAGGGTTCGAGAGTGCTGAAAAAGCATCCGTGGAAACATTGACAGAGATGCTGCAGAGCTGTAAGTACCAGGAAACAATAGCTCCTTTTCGAGTCAACCAAACATCTGTTCTGTGTCTTGCACTCTGATAGTGTTAAAGAGGATTTAGGAAAAAGAACAATATAGTAAAGTGACTTTCAGGCTTTAGAATCAGATGGACGTGGGTGTAAGTCATCGCTCTGCCACTTAATAGCTTGAACAAGTTGCTAAACCTCCTGAACCTCAATTTCCTTATTTGTGAAGTAGGACAATAATTTATATCTCCTGGAGTTGTGAGGATAAGTGAGGTGCATGTGTAAAACACTTGATATTAGGAACCTGGTAACCTCTTGATGGTTTATAAGTGCTGTTGTTGCTGCTTGTTCTCTATATTCCAGGAAGTTATAGTTTTGTTGCAGAGTCATGATCAAGTCCCATGAACAGATGCTATATATTGGATAATCAAATGCTATAGTATGTGATACAAAGAGGGAGAGTAAATAAGTTTTATAGAAGGGAAAAAAAGTGCTTAAGAGGAAACACGTTGAGTTGGAGAAGCCTAGAATGGTCTCACACAGGCTTTTCTGCATATACAGTGTATTTCCCTGCTTGGGTTTTATTGGTGGTGGTGGCAGTGGCAGCATGGCAGGGTGGTGGAAAGTAGAATGGGATGAGAGATGGGCTTACTTAACTTGTCTTTTGAGGGATCAACACAAATCAAAGTGAGAGAAAGCTTTAGGCAGGGGGGGAGATTAACTGCAATGCAGGCCAAATAAAGAATTGACTGACTCAGTGGGGACCTCTGGAGCACCTGTTGCCCTTCAGAGTACACCACATCAGGCTGAAAAGGGCCTTGCATTTGTACTCAGTTCTTGATCAGACACTCGATGTGGGCTGCCCCAGGAAGGACGTGGTCTGAGGTGAGGTGGCTCTCTGCAGCTGGTGTTTGGAACTTTTATTTTTTTATTATTATTTTTTGTTTGGAACTTTTAAATACCAAATGTTTTCCTAAAGCAATGATCTCAAATGTTTTTATCTTAGAACCTATTTAGACTCTTAAATATTGAGGATCCTGAGGAGTTTCGTCTACATGGGCTTTATATAGAGCGATTTTTGCCACATTAGAAAATAAAATTGAAAAAAAAAAAGAAAAGAAAAGAAAGAAAAGAAAATTGAGGGCAGCCCGAGTGGCTCAGCAGTTTAGTGCCGCCTTCAGCCCAGGGCCTGATCCTGGGGACCTAGGATCGAGTCCCACATCGGGCTCCCTGCATGGAGCCTGCTTCTATCTCTGCCTGTGTCTCTGCCTCTCTCTCTCTCTCTCTCTCTCTCTCTCTCTCTCTCTGTGTGTGTCTCTCATGAATAAATAAATAAAATCTTTAAAAAAAAGAAAAAATTGAAAAAATTTAAATATAAACATATATGAGCCCACATTCTGTTATCCCTCAGAGCCATGATATCATCATAGCCCATGTAACCTCTAGAAAACTACATGAGACAATGAGTAAAAAAGTCAAAGAATGTCTTCACTTAATTATAAACATAGTTTTGGTCTGTGGACTCTGGAAAGGATATCAGGGCTGCCTGAGGACTCCCAGGCCCCACTTTGAGAACTTTTGTCCTCAAAGAACGGACTAATAGTTCCCAACAGAATTCAGTTTTTGAAAAAATCTTGGAATTCAGAGTCTAAAGATCCTCATGATTGAGGCAATTATTTCTGATACCACTGGACAAAAGGCCTTTTTTCTCTCAGAAGAAATAGTTGCCACCAAGTGGGATGGAGCTGAGATAGTTGTGTTGGAAAGCTGTGAATATTGAAACTAAAAGGCTTGAAAATGGTATAAAAGTCTGCCACTCCAAGGCACCTAAGTGGTTCAGTGGTTGAGCATCAACTTTTGGCTCAGGTCATGATCCCAGGATCCTGGGATCGAGTCCCATATCGTGCTACCCACAGGGAGCCTGCTTCTCCCTCTGCCTGTGTCTCTGCCTTTCTCTGTGTCTCTCATGAATAAATAAATAAACAAAATCTTAAAAAAAAAAAAGGTGCCACTTCATTCCAAGGAATACCAAGGATAGATGGCTTAGGCTGAGGTCTTGCTCAGGCTTGAACAGCTCCATGTTGTTAAGAGCTCTGGGTATCAAAGTTTTAGGATTTGTGTTAGTTATAAGCATGAGGCAGAGTTTTTGTGCTTATTGCCTACAGTCGCTTGGTTTCTAGGGACTCCAATCTTAAACTGGGTTCAGAGCAAAGTCTCTGAATACTATTTTCTACATTTCTTATACATGTCCTTTGAAATCCTAGGACCTACTAAGAAAAGAAAGAAAAAAGCCAAATGGGTGAAGATACTTTAACTGACACTTGGCTTATTTCTAAGACATTCTATACCAGGATTCTAATTAAATTTTTCCCACAGTAAATAGATGCTGCCCACCATTTTCCTGTATGGGAGCCAGTACTAGTGACTTGCCCAGGGTAGCGACGAGTTGATGGTGGGTCTTGGTGAGTTGGTGGTGGGTCTTCAGTTTGACACCCTTCCCTCTCAGTCACCACTTGCTCTTAACTTCTGAACCATTAGGGCCTCTAGAGCAGGAGATCCTTACATTTTGGGGCTCCTTTTGCGTATGATGAAATCTGTGGACCTATCCTCAGAAAAAGGCTTTTCTGTATGTAAAATTTAGCACAGTTTCAGAGCTTCATACCTCCTCTTTCCCTGAAGAACTTTTTTTTTTTTAAGATTGTATTTATTTATTCATGAGAGACAGAGAGAGAGAGAGAGAGAGAGAGACAGAGGGAGAAGCAGGCTCCATGCAGTGAGCCCAATGTGGGAGTCAATCCCGCGACTCCAGGATCACGCCCTGGGCCAAAGGCAGGCGCTAAACCACTGAGCCACCCAGGGATCACACACACACCCCAATAACTCTTAAATAGAAGTTCAGCTTCAGGCCGAAGAAACAAAAACTTGATCCTCCTCCCCCTTTTTTTAGTGAACAATTCAGTGGCATTAAATACAGTCACAATATTTTTCTTTTAAAGATTTTATTTATTTGACAGAGAGCATAAGCAGGGGAAGCAGCAGAGGAAGAGGGAGAAGCAGGCTTTCAGCTGAGCAGGGAGCTTGATGCGGGCTTGATCCTAGGACCTTGGGATCAGGACCTGAGCTGAAAGCAGACACTTAACTGACTGACCCATCTAGGTGCCCCTATATTCACAATATTGAATGACTGTTAATAGTAGCCATTTCCAGAACTTTTTCTTCATCTAAACAAACACTGTATCCATAATGCTAATTCTCCATCCACCACCCTCCCCCCAGCTCCTAGTAACCTCTAATCCACTTTTTGTCTCTATCAATTTTCTTTTTTCTTGGTGCCTGAAATATAAGTGGCATCTGAAAATATTTGACTTTCTGTGGCTGACTTATTTCACTTGGAGTAACATTTTCAAAGTTTGTCCCTGTTGTAGCCTGTATCAGAATTTCATTCCTTTTGAAGGCTGGATCACGTTCCATCATATGTGCAGACCACATTTTGTTTAGCCATTCATCTGTTGATGAGCACTGGCTTGTTCCCACCTTTGCTATTGTGAATAATACTGCAGTGAACATTGGTGTGCAACGATCTGTTTTCAGTTCACTTGGGTATATTTCTAGGAGCGGAATTGCTGGCTCTTATGTTAATAATTCTATACTTTGCTCTTTGGGAACTGAGAATAAGACATTATGCCTTTGACCCTTTTCTAGACATTTCAGAAATTGGGAGGAGTGCCAAGTCCTACTGTGAGCACACAGCCAGGACACAGCCCACACTGTCAGATATTGTGGTCACACTTGTCGAGATGGGTGAGTACACTCCCAGTTTCCAAACCTCTGGTGTGGCTAAAGTGGAGTTCCGAGAGAAAGAATAGTCTCCAAGAGTCAGCCACATCCACTGAATGTTCTTGAATTCCCTTGTGAGTCTCCAGGTTTGCTTTTAGCTGGAGAGAGGGTTCCCTGAAAGGGGGCTCCTCTGAACCCATTGAAGAGACCTCCTACTTTCCTGTTGGGGGATTGATTCTGCTGGAGCTGCTTTTGAGTGGCAGCAGAGCCCTCAAGCTGGGGGTTCAAACTCTTTTGCTGCAGTATTACTCCCCATTCCGTGTTCGATTGCCAGTCGTCTGGGCAGTGATTCTTGCTCTCCTGTTTCTTAGGTTTCAATGTGGACACTCTCCCTGCTTATGCAAAGCGGTCTCAGAGGATGGTCATCACTGCCCGTAAGTGACTTTGAACTGAGGCAACCAAATAAGCACTCAACTAATAGTTGTGGGATGAATGCACATTGAATAGGGCTGGGATGGGTTTGTAGCTCCTTCCCATTGTGGGCTACCTGCAATATGATCTTCATTTAGGTTAATAGGATGGGGGTGTGAAGTTTAGTTACCAGAGAGGTAACCCATGTCTGAGGTATTGCTGTGGCTCCTGTGCTTCAGCCCCAGAAGAGGACTGTTTGAAAAATGTGAAAGGCCTCAGTCTTCAGTCAAGTAACCTATGGCCTGTAGGTCTAATGTAGCCTACTGCCTGTTTATGTAAATAACATTTTATTGGAACACAGCCATATTTACCTGTTATCCATGGTGGCTTTCATGTTATAATGGCAGAGTTAAGTGGTTGTGACAGACTGTATGGCTGGCAAAACCTGAAATATTTACTCTGTCCCTTGACACAAAAAGTTTGATGACCTCTGCCTTCGATAAACTGAGGCCATAAACTTGACTTGGGAGTACCTAGTTGTTGCTTGTAGGACCTTGGGGAGAATATTACTAGATTTTTTTCTCAGCACTCTTTTCACGCTGGCACCTTTTTAAGAAATTCTCTCAGGGTAGCATTGGAAAGGGCTATTTTTAATCCCTCCTTATTTCCCTTAGCCCACACTGACCTACCCTGCCTCGCTCAGTGTTTATCATCTGGGTTCTATGGAAAAAAAACTACTAGCCCACTCAATTTCCTTAGCTCCTTGGCATGCTCCCCTATGTAGTTACCTTGTCACAGCCCCCCATTCACCTACCTGAGAAGCATGCAGGCAGATGGTGGTATGTGGTACTGTCCCCCTAGGTCATCCAACAGGGCCGAGCATTGCAGGGGTGACCTCCTCAGGTCCTCAAGCCATTAAAGGACCTTTATTGATAGAAATACAAAGTGCTTGTACAGAGGACATGGAGGTCTGGCATTTACTTCAAGGAAAGGAGGGAAGGGGTAGAGACCCACAGCCTTGGATGTTGGAGTAACAGGTTGTAACTCTGTTGCAGCTCCAGTGACCAACCAGCCGGTGACCCCCAAGGCCCTCACTGCTGGCCAGAACCGACCCCACCCGCCACACATCCCCAGCCACTTCCCTGAGTTCCCTGACCCCCACACTTATATCAAAACTCCGGTGAGTGATGGGGCCACACTGGGAGCTGTGACTAATGCAAAAGTATTCAGTTCCTACCAACTGTCAGACTCGAGTCCAAGAGTTTGTTGGTAAAAGGGTGGTTCAGAACTCAGAATTTCTGTCCTCATTGATACACAATCTGATAGAGGAGAATTATGTTCTCCATGGTTCAGATGTATTCTCAGTTTGCCAGACTAGCAGTTTCACCTTCCCTGGGGAAGATGTGGTGTGCCCAGGGGTTTTCCACACTTCCTTTGTCCTCCCCTCCACCCCATGTACTGGTGCAAATGTGGCCATCAGGCAGGCTGTTGGGGCAAGTCCTCTAGGACATTTGTGCATACCTCAGGAATAGATGGTCACCCACCATTGCAACACAGCCATTGTCCTTGACCAGTGGGCTCTGTGTTAGTGTCCTAGGGCTGCCTGCTGTAACAAAGTGCTACAAACTAGGTGGCCTCGAACAACAGAAATGCACTGAATAAACAAATAATCTTTAAAAAGGTTATATTTATTTGGGAGAGAGAGTGAAAGAGAGAGAGCACAAGTGAAGGAAAGGAGCAGAGGGAAAGGGAAAAGCAGACTCATCACTAAGCAGGGAGCCCGATGTGTGTCTCAATCCCGGGAGTCTGGGATCATGACCTGAGCCAAAGGCAGATGCTTAGCTGACTGAGCCACCCAGGTACCCTTTGTAAAACTTTTCTATTACATTTCCATATTCTTGAAGGTCAAACAGTTGTCTTTTTCTTTTTTTTTAAGATTTTATTTATTTGTTCATGAGAGACACAGAGAGAAGCAGAGACATAGGCAGAGGGAGAAGCAGGCTCCCTGCAGGGAGCCCGATGTGAGACTCGATTCCGGGACTCCGGGATCATGCCCTGAGGTGAAGGCAGATGCTCAACCACTGAGCCACCCAGGCATCCCAAACAGTTGTCCTAAAAATAATTATAAGATCTTGCATTTTAATGTTTTTGACAAGTATATTCACAATCCACCTAAATTTTTTATTTGGGTAAGATTTTAATTAGCAATAATCATGCTCAGATAAACCCCATTGGCTACGATACTGCCACTGTGCAAAGCTTATTTGGAAAAGATTTTAAACAAGTCTGAAAATCCTGTTTCTGTGTTTAAGTATAGATAGGGGAACTTACATTTAGGTGACACATTTGAATTAACATTAAAAACAGTGGGAATATTTCCAAATATTTCCAATACCTCTTTTTTTTTTTTTTTAGTAAACTTTAAAAAAAATCACAAACACACAGAAAAGCAGGATAATAAGTGTACAGTTTGATGAATTTTTTCTAAGTGTACATATACATTGAACTAATACCCAGAGCTAAAAAACAAAAGAAAAACAAAAAGCCATGGGGGCACCTGGCTGGCTCAGTCGGTGGAGGATGTGACTTTTACTTTTTTTTAAATGACTCATACGTGGAGTGCAAAGAATAACAACTTATTTTTTAAAGATTTTATTTATTTGTTTAAAAGAGAGAAACTGGGGATCCCTGGGTGGCGCAGCGGTTTAGCGCCTGCCTTTGGCCCAGGGCGCGATCCTGGAGACCCGGGATCGAATCCCACGTCAGGCTCCCGGTGCATGGAGCCTGCTTCTCCCTCTGCCTGTGTCTCTGCCTCTCTCTCTCTCTCTGTGTGTGACTATCATAAATAAATAAAAATTAAAAAAAAATATATATATATAAAAAAAAAAAAAAAGAGAGAGAAACTGGGCAGCCCCAGTGGCCTAGCGGTTTAGTGCCGCCTTTGGCCCAGGCCCTGATCCTGGGGACCCGGGATCGAGTCCCACGTCAGGCTCCTTGCATGGAGCCTGTTCTCCCTCTGCCTGTGTCTCTGCCGCACTCTCTCTCTCTCTCATTAATAAATTTAAAAAATAAAAAGAGAGAAACCACAAATGGGAGAGGGGCAGAAGGAGAAGCAGATTCCCCACCAAGCAGGAAGCTGATGCAGGGCTCAATCCCAGGACCCGAAGACACTTAACCAACTGAACCACCCTGGCACCCTGAGGATGTGACTTTTGATCCCAGAGTTGTAAGTTCAAGGCCACACGTTGGGTGCAGAGATTGCTTAAAAATAAAATTTTTAGGGGATCCCTGGGTGGCTCAGTGGTTCAGTGCCTGCCTTTGGCCCAGGGCATGATCCTGGAGTCGTGGGATCGAGTCCTGCATCAGGCTCCCGACATGGAGCCTGCTTCTCTCTCTCTCTCTCTCTCTCTCTCTCTCTCTCTCTCTCTCTCTCTCTCTTTCTATCTATCTATCATGAACAAATAAATAAAATCTTTTAAAAAAATAAATAAAATAAAATCTTTAGGGATCCCTGGGTGGCTCAGCGGTTGAGCATCTGCCTTCAGCCCAGGGCGTGATCCTGGGGACCTGGGATCGAGTCCCACATTGGGCTCCCTGCATGGAGCCTGCTTCTCCCTCTGCCTGTGTCTCTGCCCCCCTCTCTCTCTGTGTCTCTCATGAATAAATAATATCTTTAAAAAATAATAATAATAAAATCTTTAAAAAACACCACCACCACCATAAACTAGCATTCCTAAAGGTGCCTATTCCCCTTCAGTGACTAGCTCCCAAAGGCAATCTAATTTTTATCACCATAAATTCTTTTGTCTATTGTTGTATTTTATATAAACTATGTGGCTTCTCTCACTCAACATTATATTTTTGAGATTCCTCCATGTTGCTGCATGTAGTTGAAGTTTATTCAACATATATATAATCTTTTGGCATTTGAGCTAATCTAGGTTTTGGCCTACACAAATGGCACTGCTGTGAACATTCTAGCTTAGGTTAAACCATGGGAACTACAATTTTTGTAAATCAACAACTGTCAGATACTCACAATTATATACATATGGTTCAACTCATTAATGTCTTTTAGTGCACATATGTTTGCATTCTGTTGAACATATACCCAGGGGTGGGATGGCTGGGCCATCGGGGATGCATGTGTTTAGCTTTAGTAGATACTGCCAAGTGGTTCCAGTGCTGCTTTCAAAAATCTAGTTTCGGGCAGCCCCTGTGGCTTAGCGGGGCAGCCCCGGTGGCTTAGCAGTTTAGCGCCGCCTTCAGCCCAGGGCATGATCCTGGAGACCCAGGATTGAGTCCCATGTGGGGCTTTCTGCATGGAGCCTGCTTCTCCCTCTGCCTGTGTCTCTGCATCTCTCTCTGTCTCATGAATAACTAAATACAATCTTCAAAAAAAAAAAAAATCTAGTTTCTGTATCATGAAGAGTAGTTGCTTTTTTGGTCATGTTTAAAATGTCAGTTTACCGTTACAGTTTAAAATGTTGTAGCTAAGTTCTCATCCTCATGAGATCTCGGTTCTCTTACACTCCGTGACGTGATTGCCGAAGAGCTCATAATTAGGAGCCAGAGGAGTGTCAGCCCACCATTTTCTTGTTCAACTTGCTTTTACATTAATATCCTCAGTCTGTGTTTCTTGGAGGGACTCCTTTAGGACAGCATATCCACTTTGCAAAAGTTGGGTTTAAGAAAGCAAGCTGAAGGCACCTGGGTGGCTCAGTGGTTAAGCATCTGCCTTTGGCTCAGGTCGAGTCCCACATCAGGCTCCCCGTAGGGATCGAATCCCACATCAGGCTCCCCATAGGGAGCCTGCTTCTCCCTCTGCCTCTGTCTCTGCCTCTCTCTGTGGCCCTCATGAATAAATAAATAAAATCTTTAAAAAAAAAAAGAAAAGAAAAGAAAGCAAGCTGATACTTAAGCAGCCGCTCACATACTGCAGGATGTCACATTACACCAGTGGAATTGGGTGCCCCCTGTCAAGGCTTTCCTGGGTCGGAGTAGAGGATTCCCACTCTTCCTTTGGGGTGCATTTCTTATGCCTGAGACCAGCTGTCCCAAAAATTACCTTAAGGCCAGGGGCAATCACTATAGTAAATGTCTGTGCCTTTCTTAACTTTTAACTTAAAAATAAATATTAGTGATAGTTACATAATTTTCTTTCTGCCTTTCCATTGCTCTTGGGGATCTCGGCTCCAGATAATGTCAGTGGGTCATTGAGAGGGTGAAAGGACATCGCAACAGCAAGAATGATCCATTGGTATTACTCTAGTGTCTCTGCTGTTCTTACAGACGTACCGCGAGCCTGTGTCAGACTACCAGGTCCTGCGAGAGAAGGCTGCATCCCAGAGACGAGATGTGGAGCGTGCGCTCACCCGCTTTATGGCAAAAACAGGCGAGACCCAGAGTCTTTTCAAAGACGACGTCAGCACGTTTCCATGTGAGAATCTCTCCCTTCGGTGTACCCTGCCTTGTCATTTGAAATAATTGCACTATCTTCCCTTTTAGTATGGTAGGAAGAAATGAAAGCTCTGTCCTTGTCTTGGGGCAGCTTATTCTTCACATTTCTGGCTCCTTTTCCCAGGTCTTCAGGCCCTGTCCCTAACTGGTGACTGTAAAATGTTATGGCCTCTTTTGGGATTGGCTGTTTGAGATTGAGGTTCAGCTACCTTGAGGATGACTGACCCTGGGCAGTAGAAGTGGCAGCCCTGGTAGTAGGAGGGCAGGGCAGTTACAGAACACCCCCCAGTCTTTGCCTTTCATGATGTCCTTTCACAGGTTCTATGTCACTGAATTTCTCATCCCAGTGGTACCATTTCACAGCATGCCCACATTACTTCATCTCCGTAGGCCTCAGTTTTTTCAGATGTGAGTGAGAGAGATTGGTTTGGGTGACTGATTCAGTCAGCCGGGCCCTATTGAGTGCTCACTGTGTGCCTGGGCCTGGAGCTACTAACAGTTCATAAGTGCCAGACACTGTACTAATCATACCCCTTATCCTCTCGTGAACCTATGAGTTAGGAACTGTTACCACCACCATTATAGGAAGCTGAGGCTTTTAGAGAAAAGAAATGAAGTCATTTGCTCCAAGTCACACAGCTGGTAGATAGAATTTGGCTTAGCTCTTTCTGAATACAGGACCCTACATCAGAGCCTTAGCAAAAATAATCTCAGTGTCTCCTGCTAATCACATTTTGCTATAGAAGTATATGTAGATGATTTCTTTCTTTTAATTTTTTTTTTAAGATTTTATTTATTTGACAGAGAGAACAAGCACAAGCAGGGGGAGGGGCAGAGGGAGAAGCAGGCTCCCTGCTGAGCAGGGAGCCCCATGCTGGGCTTAATCCAGGACCCTGGGATCAGGATAGCCACTTGACCGACTGAGCCACCTGGGTGCCCCTGGTTTTTTGTTTTATTAATAATTTTTTCTCTTAATCCGTGCTTTTTGGAAGAACTAGAATGCTTACTCACCTGAAGTGCCCTCTAGTTCGGTGGATATATAACTTGCATCCAGAGAGTTCTCAAGTCCAGTATTTGGACTTCATTCCTTTAGGCTGAAGAGATCAATATCCGAGCTCAAGAAATGAGGCTGAGAGGGGTCTAGGATCACTAAGCTGATACTCTGTGAGGATTCAGCCCCAGTTCTGAGTTTAGTTATACTTGTAAAAGTGGGCTCTGAGGTCGGATTGCCCAAATTGAGATGCCACTCTGCCAGTTTCTTTGTGCTTGACAAGGTTGCTCCATGCCTGGGTCCTCATCTGTAAGATGAGGCTGGCAGTTGTACTTAATAGGGTGTAGGCAAGGATTACAGATAGCGTGTAGGATGTCACGTGACCTGTGATTGAGTGTTGAGAGCGCGTCACCATGACTGTTGTTCGTTGCTGCTCACAACTCTGTTGTAAGGCTGTTGGGCAGCTGCAGGGACGCTGTGACTGGAATGGTGCCTCTCTCCCAACTTCCCAGTGATCGCTGCCAGGCCTTTCACCATCCCCTACCTGACAGCACTTCTCCCGTCGGAACTGGAGATGCAACAGATGGAAGAGACGGATTCCTCGGAGCAGGATGAGCAGACAGACACAGAGAACCTTCCTCTTCATATCAGCACGGTGGGTCCTGCCTTCTGCCTGCTTCACAGTACCCCCAAAACTCACCCCTGCTGCCCTCAGCCTGTCACCCTGTGAAGTAGACACCACCTACCCTGGGTCTCTGGGCTTGCGTGACGGGCTCATGATGATCCAAGTGTGACATGATCTCTTGGGTGAGAGACAAGTCCACATCCTGGGGCTTCATTCATCCATTCACCAAGTATCAAACAAGTATCTGCTGGAGCCAGGCAATTTCGAGTACTGGGGAATTAGTAGGAGACAAAATAGACAAAACTTCCTGCCCTTGTGTCACTACGGAAAAATGATATATTAGGAGATAGGAAGTAATATGGGTATGAGAGGATGTGGTACTAGATAGGGTGACTGAGAAGGTGACATTTGAGGGAAGACCTGAAGGGAACAAGGTTTGTACATATCTGGGAGGAGAGCATTCCTTGCAGAGGGCATAGGAGATGCAGAGGCCCTGAGGTGGGAGCTGTTGTAGAAAAGGACAGCAAAGCTCCCAAGGTGACATGAACATCTTAAAGGCCATGTTAAACATGGCGGCTTTTTCTCAGTAAGGTTGGAGCTATTGGGAATTCTGAGCAGAGGAAGTTTGGGATCTGATGTAGGTTTATTGACAAGGTCAGTCGAGTTGAGAGTAGACTACAGAAGGTAAGGGCAGAAGCAGAAGCGAGACATCTTAGGAGGCTCTGCAGTAAACTGAGGGTGTAGAAGCGAAGACAATGAGATGTGGCCAGATAGATAATTTGGTCAGATTTTACACTATTTTCAGAGCAGAGCCAAGCAATGGTGTGGGTGTGAGATATGAGAGAGAGAGAGCCAAAGAGGAATGCCAGGCATTTTGCCTGAACAACAGGAAAGGTGGAGTTGCCTTCAGCCAAGATAGGGAACCCCTGGGTGGGCCAGGTGGATGGTGGAGGGGTAGGAGTTCCCATTAAACAGGGAAGCCTGAGATGCTTATTAGACATCCAGGTGGTGGTGGTGTCAGGTGGAGAGATGCATATATGAGTTGGAGTTTGAGGAGCCATTAGGGCTAAAGATGCAACTTAGGGAGTCACCAATATGTCGATCGTGTTTAAAACCATGAGATGGGGTGAGCACCTTGGGAGTGGGTAAGGATAAAAAGGAGAAGAGGAATTGGGCTTCATAAGTATAGACTTGTGCTGTTACAGTAGGCACATGTGTCCATTTAAACTGAAATTAGGGGTGCCCGGCAGGCTCAGTTGGTGGAATGTGTGACTCTTGATCTCAGGGCTATGAATTCAAGACCCATGTTGGGTGTACAGATTACTTAAAAATAAAATCTTAAAAAGAAATTTAAAAAATAAACTAATATAATTGAGATAAAACGAAAAATTCTTAGTTTCTTTTTTTTTTAAAGATTTATTTTTAATTTGTTTGTTTATTTATTTATTTATTTATTTTAGACAGAGAGAGAGAGAGAGAGAGAGAGGCAGAGACACAGGAGGAGGGAGAAGCAGGCTCCATGCCGGGAGCCTGACATGGGACTCGATCCCGGGACTCCAGGATCGCGCCCTGGGCCAAAGGCAGGCGCTAAACCACTGAGCCACCCAGGAATCCCCAAATTCTTAGTTTCATAGTCACACCATCCACTTTTCAGATAGCTACCTATGGCTAGTGGCTACCATATGGAGCAGTGCAGATGTGAATACATGCCATTGCAGAAAGTTCTGTTGGGCAGCGCTCCTATAGACAATTGTTTCAAGGAATTTTGCTGTAAAGGGAAGGAGAAAAATGGAGTGGTGGCCAAAGAGGGGACGTTAAGGCATTAAGAGAGGCGTTTTTATTTTTGTTTGTTTCTTTAAGATAAAAGAAATAACAGGATGTCAGTATGCTGATGGGAATGATCTGGTAGAGAGGAAAAGAGGATGCAGGAGAGAAAGAAACATTTTGGATTGATGGTCTTTGGTAGGTGAGAGGTAAGGGATCTAGGGGACAGGGCATGGTGGAGGGGTTGGCCTTGTTATGGGCATTTCATTCCCAGGGGAGGAGATAGAGTGCATGGGCACAGGGATAGAGGTGGGTGAGATGTGCCCGTCATAACTCGTGGATGTTCTCATCTGGTTATCAATGGGTTGTACTCAGCACATACAAGTATAAGACCCCACTCTTGTTCCTGCATCATTGTGAGAAAGTGCCAAGTACAGCCACAGAACTGTGAGACACTCAGACGCCTTTAAGGCCTGCAGGGCCCTATGGTCCACTTACCATATTCATCCATCCTTTAAGACCACCCCTGGCTTTGAAGCAAAGGATGCCTTGGTGGTTGTAGTTGAACCAAGCATTCTGCGTGTTCTCCAAGGTCCATGCAGCAGGTGGCAGCCAGCAGCCCCAGTATGGGGGTGGAAAGTTGCCTCTGCTGTCTTTTATTATTTGCCGACAGCCTCCTTGCTTGAACACAGGTTTCTTTAATGTTGGATTATTCCTTTCAGAATTAGGGCTGGAAGCCCATGGCTTTACCTAAAGCAGAGGAACTTGTTATTCTACACTTCCGTGTTGGACTCAGTTAATTTGGTCTGAGATATGGTGATTGGGTCATGGACTAAGATGAGGTTCACCTTATGAAAAGGAGGACTCTTCTAAGCAAAACTACCATCCCTTTGTAAGTACCAAGTAGCTAAATGGCCTGCAGATGTGTTACCTGACACCCCAGGTGATGACCCAGGCGAGGTCTTGGCCGTGAATGGACCCAGGTGAGGTCGTGGCCGTGAATGAACCCAGGCTGCAGGACCTTGGAGCTGCCAGTGGGGCTCCAGGGCACTGAGAGGCCAAGCCAGACAGCAAAGAGTAGGAATACTGACCCTCAGAGTCACGCTGGCCTGGCTCTGCTTTCCAGATAACGTGACCGGGCTTGCAGACCCTAACATCTGAATCTGTGTCCTCATGAATACAAGCAAGAATAGGAACAGCTAACCCAGCAACGGACATCAGGTGCCTGGCAGCTCCTGGCACCCATTGTATGCTCCCCTCCCCCAGCCTCCCACCGTTTTAGGCTGTATGACCACCTGCTCTTCTATTAAAAGTAAATAAATAAATATAAAAAGACCTCAAGCAAAGGATTCTAGCAACACTTGATATACAATTGATTGGATTTATTTGTATTATTCTGTTTGAATGACAAATAGAATCCTGTTTCAGAATTTACCGTGTAGAAAGAAATGTATGGCCAAAAGTCTTTATCCCTTCCTTGTTCCCTGCCATCCACTTTCCCTCCTACAAAGCCACCAGGATCACCAGTCTCATGTATCCTTCTAAAGATGCAATTTCCTCATTTTTAACACAAATAACAAATCACAAACCACTCTCCCTTTGTTTTCCTTTATTGATATATCTTGGTGAGCATTCCGTATGTAGAGGTCAGAAGCTTTTTTAGCCCTCCTTATGGTTTCATCGTGTTCCACTGTATGGATATAACTGTGGAATGTAACTATAATACATAAACCACAATATAGACATTTGTCTTTTCTATCTATGGTTTACAGATGTCATTACAGTGAATTAAACAGCAGGTACTTTAAATTATTCTTCCACTTAGCAGTGGCAGCATGTCTTTCAAGGACTGTTGCTAGGTGGTTACTTTGTTTAACCTGGTTCCTGTTTCTCCATCTACTTGAACATATAAAGGGGCTATTCATTTTGAATTAGCGTATAAGAGCATTTTTTCCCCTTGTGTATTTGCACTAGCTGCCTCCTGCAGACAATAGCAGTCTAAACTTTTGTTCTTTTATGAACAAAGGACCATTCATTTACTCAGCCAGTATTGATTCAGTCCCTGTATGTGCCAGATACTGTTCTGGGTGCTTGGGATACCTCGGTGAACAGAGCAAACGAAACATCTGCCTTTTGGAAGCCTGTGTGTCGGCAGTAGGGGAACACCAATAAACGTGATATGTAAATAAATCATTCACAGTACATTAAAGATGCAGATGCTATTGTCGGGGCAAGGGGACCGGGCAGGACAAGATCCAGGGTAAAAGATGGAAGTTTCGGTTTTAAATAGGGTGGTCAGGGTAGATATAACGGAGAAGGAGACATTTGACAAGAGACTTGAAGAAAGTGAGCAAGTGGGCCATGTGGCTATGTGGGGAAGAGCGTTCTGGAAAGGGACAGCCAGTGCAGAGGCCCTGAGGAACAACACAGAGGTGAGTCGGGCTATGGTGGAGGGCAGCAGGGGAAGAGAGGCAGAGGGCGGGTTAGATCGGACCCTGCAGGCAGCTTTTGGAAACTGGCTTGTAACGGGGTGAGATGGGTGTCAGGGGAGGGTGTGGAACAGCAGAGGGACCCGGACTAGGGGGGAGGCCTGCTGGCTGCTGCGGTAGTCTTAACAAGAGATCCGGTGGGTCCAGCAGGGTGCCTGCACTCGAGAGAGTGGAGGTGCTCAGATCCTACCTATTCTTTGAAAGTCAGGCCGAGAAGTTATCCTAACAGTTTGGATGTAGGAGGTCTGAGAAAGAAAAGCGAGGAGGACGCTTTGTCTTAAACAGCTGGAAGGTTAGAGATGGTGCTCAGGGGCTGGGCTGGAGTTCAATTTCTGGCACGGAGCTTTGAAGCGCCTCCTGGATGCCAGGTGGAGATGTGGAGTGAGCAGGTGGCGGTACAGGTGGCAGTGCGAGCCTGGGGGTCAGGAGAGAGGTGAGGGCGGAGGGGTGCACGCGGTCAGTGTAGAGAAACAGTGTTTGACACTGTGAGGCGCTGCAGTCACCCCAGGGTACGTGGGGCTCACCAGAGCTCACCCCGGGAGCTACCGACAGACTTTTAGAAGCAAATCTCAGTTAGTTTGGTACTTTACTTTTATCCACTCCTATCCCTATCTCAAGGCTGCCTGTCCCTGAAAGAGGCAAGCAAGTGACATTTCCAGCTCTACTTGGGAGAAGAGAAGCTGTTGTCCCATGACTTGGGACCCACATCCTGGCCTTGTGAGACAAGTGAGCCGAGTGGAGGGAGCCTAGTGCCCTCCAGCAGAGGTTCCAGGGCTGGCCTTTCTGTGACCCTGGTTGGCCCTTCCATCCTTATTATCTCAGGAAACACTTCAGGCATGGTTGAAATGAACTTTCAGCAACTGCAAGACAGGGAACTTCCAGTAGAGAAAGGACAATAGGGGAGCAGGGAGTGAGTTACTAAATAAGCCATTAAGAACTTCAGAAAGATTGGGAGCCAGATATCCCAGGCAGGTCCGATCATGGTCAGACCCGTGCCTGGCATGAGCGAGGTTGACCTTGGGGCACTTGTTTTCAAGAGAGCCTCTAGAAAGTCCACAACAACCCTAGATTACGTTGTGATCCCACTGAATCAGGTTTTGGGGAGGCAAAGCACAGGGACCCTGGATGGAGCTGGGTTTGGAGGGATAACAGAATTGGTGGGGCGGGGATGGGCATGCAGCAGAATCTGAAGGGTTTCTTGAAGCTCACTAAGCCTGAGACTGGAGTCCCTGTCCTAGGCCTGCCGTCCCTGTGGGAGAACCTGTCATTCATGTCATCCAATCACAGTATCCTCTACCCTGCTGTCTTTTGACCACAGAATCTCCTGGTTGAGGTCAGGTCCTCTTTTGCCTCAGTTACGGAATAGGAATCTCAGTGACCAGTCACCAGGGGGCACAGCCCAGACAGCTTCTTCTGGTCACTTCTAGTCCCTCAAGCCTGGCCTGAGCTTCTGGGTCAGGTCCTTGATGTGATTTTTCTCCACCTTACCCTGCAGCTTCTGCTCATTTTAAAGAACTTGGAAAATGGAAGAGAGTATAGTAAGGAAAGGAGAATCAATCACGCATATTCCCAGAATCTGTTTTTAATATTTCAACCTATTTTTACTATGTGTACACACTTTATAGTTAAAAAATGTTTTAATCGAGATCATGTTGAATATATGTAAACCTATAAACTTTTCTTCCAAATCACTTTCCTCAAAAAGCAAACAGTGGAAGAGCTGACCCACAGGTCACAGATGGCGATTATCGTTGGCATTCCTGTGTTGGCACCTTTGTGCTGTCTTTGCCCTGGTGGGAACCCTCAGGGCTCAAGAAATGTCTGGCGTCTGCTGCAATATGATCGTTGGTACCTGTTGCAGGTACCAGATATTTGAGAATCTGGGGGAGATCAATTATGATTTGCATTCAGTTTGGTCCAGGAGATGCCCTGTGCACATGATTTGTTCTGGCCCTGTGTCCTGCAAAACATCATGGGTCACTTCTCTTTTTCTTTATCTTCCTATAGGCTGGGTTTCCTCCTTGAGCATCTAAATGTTCATCCCTGACTCCCTGCCCCTGCCAGGGTTCTATTCTAACTCATGCCCTTGCCTTTTCAAGAGTTTCACAGTTTGGTGATCTCTGTTCCCCCGTGTCCAAGCTGTTGGTCTCATCTTTCTCTGATAGCTGGCCCCTGCTCATTTCTTTGGACAGAGATAGATACATTAGAAAGAAAGTGGTCTCTAGGCTTCTAATTTCTTGACGAAAGGGGTGCTAATATTAGTTCTTATTATGGGCATGATCTCTTTCCTTATGCCATTGGTATTTTGCTTTATTTCGGGTTTTGCTCAAAGGATGATTCTGGAGCCGAGAAGGAGAACACCTCTGTCCTGCAGCAGAACCCCTCCTTATCAGGAAGCCGGAACGGGGAAGAGACCGTCATTGATAACCCCTATCTGCGACCTGTGAAGAAACCCAAGATTCGCAGGAAGAAGTGAGTTGGAGGCTGGGTGCGGAGAGGCTTCTCTGGCCAACCGATACGGTCTTTTCTGCTCCCTGGCAAAAAAGAGAGGCTCCCCAGTGGGTCTGAGCCTTGGGGAAAGCTCCTCTTTTCCTTTTCCCTCTTCTCACTCATCCCCTATATATACCTCTTGTTGGAAAGAAGTTGAGTGTCCTGCAGCCCGGGGACCAGCCCTCACCACCCTAGAGCTCCCTAGAGTCCCCCTCTAGGGAGAAGGAGAGCAGGTGGGGCCCCCACCAGGCAGGCTCCATGGATTCCTCTTCTTTCTAGGTCCCTCTCATGAGCCGAGAAGGAAGCCTGCCTTGTACAGAGACGCAGACACCACTCTCCTGGGGGCAGTTAAAGCCACTGGAGGGAGCAGAGAGGGTGGCCTCCTCATGGTCAAGCTAAGGCAGCAGGGTGCGACTGAGCATGATTTTGATAGCAAACTCCATATGAAGATTACCTGTTTTCACTGGATATTTGGGTGGAGGAAGGCATGATGGTAACAATCAGACTTTGTTAATCAACCTGGTGAAACTGTGGGGCACAGAAGCAGCCAGTACTTCCGTTGTGTCAGGACTTTATTTCCTTGAACCCTAGAAGACAGGTCTGCACAGATGATGTTAAACACAGAGGAGAGTGACACTTAAGGGCAGCACTGACTCTGTCATCAGCACTTGTAGGGTAGCGTGCTCTCCTGAGGGATTTATCCCTGACTGTCCTGTCCCTCTGTGGGATGTGTGCTTGGGAACTGCCAACTAAGTCCTGCCTCATCCCAGGAAAAGAAGTTTTCTTGGACAAGAGCCTAAATCAGTGGATATTTGATACTGTGACTTGTAGAGGAATCACCAATTTTAAACAACAGGAAGAAGATTTGATGGTGGGGAGTGGGGGTGGAGAATGAGGTTTTGAGGGATGGGCCTGGCCATTCTGCCAAAAGTCCATTGCGGACAGAAGGCCATGGTCCTACCTTATAGTGCAAGTGGGCTGAGAAGAGCCTGCAGGCCAAGCCAGGGTGTTCTTCTGGAAGCAGGTCTGAATCTGTTCCACCTCTTTTCCTCTCTGGGGAGAGAAGACTTCATCCTGATGTACCCTACAAACCAAAAACAAAACAAAACAAACAAACAAAAAAAAAAACCCAAATGCTAAGGAAGATGTTAGGTAAGTTTATTCCCTTTGGCTGGTCTCCAAAGGAAGAGATTTAAAAACCAAGTCCAAAGAAGAAAAATGCCTGTGATTCCTGGAAGTTCACACAGGATAAACAAGTTGTTCCCTGGGTTAGTGTCCTCAGGGCCATAACTGAACTTTCCTGATGCTCTGCTTCCAGAGTCCTCTTCTCATCTTCCATGCTGTTGGTGACTGAAAACTTGAAAAACTTGACAGCGGGTTCCACATTCCTCTGGCCTCACAGTTGCTTGCTCTAGGGCCCTCAATCCCATTGCCTGAAGGCAAAGAGCCTCAGTCCCTGAGGCATGCCCGGGAGATGTTTGGGTTCTCCAGCTACGGAGCGTTTTTTCAGGTTTGTAGTGGCCTGAAACCGTCCTACTGGACTGGAGTCAGAGTGGGCCTTTGCTGAGTTTGTGATCCGGCTCCTGGCAGTTCTTGGCCAGCTGAGTTTACAGGCCCAGGTTTAAACCCTGGCAGATCCAGGGCTGAGACCTTTCCAGTTTGCTCTTTTCTTCTGCCAGGGAGCAGAAAGAGCCACCCCAGTCAGCACATCTGCGGTTCCTCTTTCACCACTACTGTCCAAAAGCAGCACCAGCCCAATGCCACAATGCTGAGGGGAGAGGTGGGTTTGGGACAGAGCTGCCACTTTGGGCTGTTGAGTAATTCTGGATGAGAGCCCCAGGGAGATGATTAGAAAGGTTGAAAGGCTGACCTGACTATTGTTGTGTAAAAACTGTGCATAATTTTCAACGTATATTTATAAATTTCTATTTTTTATAACTTTGGGAGACTTCTCAGAGGGAAAAAGTAGTAAACAGAGCCAGATTTAAGAATGCGATTTATGAGCTCTCAATAAAAGATCATAATAAAAACTTTGCAAATGAAACAGAATGATGTACTTTGAACTTAATTTGTATTCAGAAGTCACAAGAATGAATAAGACTGCAGACAGATAAAAGTTTAGTCCTTCTGTTGGACTAAGTATCCCTGAGAACTATATAAAACTTTCTACACTGGAAATTTTCAAATACAGAATGAGAAAGTATGTATGTTTTCCTTGTATATCCTTCACCCCAGCTTCAACACTGAGCAACATCTTTTTAATTCTATTTCATCTATTTCTCCCACTTTTTTTCCTTTATTTTTTTCTTCCTGGAGTTTTTGGTTTTTTTAAGATTTTATATATTTGAGAGAGAGAGCACGAGTTGAGTGGGGGTGGGGGGCTCAATCTCACGACCCTGAGATCACAACCTGTTCAGAAACAGAGTCAGAGAACCGTTAACCAACTTAGCCACCCACATGCCTCTCTTCCTGGGGTTTTAAAGTAAACCCAAGACTGTGTCATTTAGTCTGTAAATAGGTCATCCTACATCTCTCTCTGAGAGACCTTTTTTTTTCTTTCTAATTTTGAAATTACAGATTGACAGGATGTTGCCTCCCCCCCCAAAAAAAAGTCCCATGTACCTTTGGCCCAGGGTCCCCCAGCGGTAGCATCTTGTATAACAGATGCAGTGTCAAACCCAGGAGACTGGCATCGGTACAACCCACAGAGCTTACTTGGATTCACCTTGTCCTCTGTGTGTGCACAGTTCTGTACAGTTTCATCATGTGTGGATTCATGTAACAACTGCCACAATCAAGATAAAGAACATTTCTGTCACTGCCAGCACCTTCCTCGTACTGTCTCTCCATAATCCCTGGTAGCCACTCTTCTGTTCTCCATCTTTATAATTGTATTTACAGATTGTTAATTGAAATGTGGGCACCTGGCTGGCTCAGCTGGTGGAGCATGCAACGCTTGATTTCAAGGGTCATGAGTTCAAGCCCCATGTTAGACATAGAGTTTACTTTTAAAAAAAAAAGATTGTTAATATAAATGGAATCAAAATTAGAACATTACAAAGTTGGGTTTTTTCACTCAGCATGAGTAAGAGCCATCCAGGTTGTGTGTCGGTAGTTCCTTTGGGTTTTTTGGCTGAGTCATATTTCATGGTATGGATGTACCACAGTGTGTTTAACCATTCACACTTTGAGGAACCTCGAGGCTGTTTTCAGTTTTGGCCTATCATGAATAAAGCAGCTATGCTCATTTGTGTATCAGTTTTTAAGTAAACATAACTTCTATTTCTCTGCAGTTCACATCCAAGAATGTGACTGCTGGGTCCTCTGTTAACTGCACATTTAATGTTAAGAGGGAACCTCTTTCCCAGAGTAGCTGTACCATCCTCATTCCTGCTAGCAATGTATGAGTAATCCAGTTTCCCCACATCCTCACCAATATTTGGTATTACTATTTTTGGTTGCTTTAGCCATTCTGACAGATGTGCAATAATAATATCTCATTGTGACTTTAACTTGTATTTTTCTAATGGTGAGATGTGCTTATTTGCTATCTGGTGGAATCCATTTGAGTCTTTTGCCCATTTTCTCACTGGATTGTTTCTTTGTTCTGAGATTTCTTTACTCTAGATACAAGAACTCTGTCAGGTGTGTGGTTTACAGATACACTTCCCCACTCCGGAGCTCATCCTCATGTTCTCTCCATGGGATCTTCGGTAGAGCAAAAAGATTTTAATTTTGAAGGCCGATTTATCAGTATTTTCTTTTCTGGGTATTTTTAGTGTCAGATCTAAAAACTCTTCACCCAGCCCTGGCTCCCCAAAAGTCTTTTTCTGTTTGTTTGGTAACATTTTTATAAATTTATGTTTTAATCCTTAATCTATTTTGAGTACATTTTTATTTAAGATGTGAGATTTTTTTTTTTTGAAAACCAATAATTTATCAAAACGCAGCGTGTGTATGCAGGGGAGGGTGTCGCGACAGACAGGGCAGCAGTGGGCAGGCGCACAGGGAGGGGATGGTCCCTGGATGGTGGGTGCAGCTTGCCGCAGGTGGGCCGTGCGCGCAGGGAGGCTACACAATTCTTCCCGCACTGCAGGTGGTTGTAGAGCAACTGCACATAGGTGAAGACGCACTCGGGGTCGGGCTTCTTGCCCATGATCATCATGTCCTCCACCTCCACCAGGGGCACCGCTGAGTTCACCGCTTTTGCCTGTAAATGTCCAATTGATCCAGCTCCTTTTGTTGAAAAGCTGCTTTTCCTTCACTGAATTACATTTGTACCTTTGTCAAGACTTAGTTTTTTGTGCTGTAGGGGCAGATTTATGTGGGTTGATAGCTTTTTTTTTTTTTTAACATAACCACCATGTCAATATCATACTTAACAAATGAACAGAGATTTCATTTGTATCCCTTAATATCCAGTTCATATTCAGATTTTTCCAGTTGTCCCAAACATGTTTGTTTTTAATAGTTGGCTTACTAGAATCAAGATCAAAATAAGGGATTCCTGGGTGGCTCAGTGGTTTAGCGCCTGCCTTTGGCCCAGGGCACAATCCTGGAGACCCGGGATCGAATCCCACATCGGGCTCCCGGTGCATGGAGCCTGCTTCTCCCTCTGCCTGTGTCTCTGCCTCTCTCTCTTTCTCTGTGTGACTATCATAAATAAATAAAAATTAAAAAAAAAGATCAAAATAAGATCCACACACTGCAGTATTCATGGCTCCTAAGTGTACCACAGTCCCTCTGCTAATTACTGATGAGCACATCCCTTCCTCAACCTCACCTCCTGGGTCGGTAGACCCCAGTCTGGCCTCTGGGGGCTCCTCTGTTTCTGACCAAGGGGAAGTTAAATGGTAGCCAGTGAAAACTGAGAAACCAGGAATGAAATGGCCTGGTCTTCTCCGGAAACAGTGTAAAAGGAACTGACATTCTTGAGCTTTGTTTTTCTAGAATCCTGAAGTTGCTCTA